CAGCATTTCCACTTGGCTGCTTTCTCTGATGCCACCTGAACAGAATTCATAGGAGCCTTCAAGCTCCTCATACATAATGTATCGCTGAAGGTCTGCTCAGTTTTCATGTCCTCCTAATTCATTTCACAAAGAGAGAGAGAGAGAGAGCATACAGAGCACACAGCTTGTTTCAAATGTGTCAAATCAGGAATCATCACTTCATCACTAACGGCTCTTTTGTTGAATCCAGCGCTGTCATGTTGCTCTTTGTTTGGCATGGATCTTTATTGAGTCAATAAATATTGATCCACATGATCTAGGATTATTCTAGTTTCACTCTGTCAGAAGAAAGGGCCTGATTTCATAAGGAATGCTATGGGTCCTACTATAGCTTGTTTTCTATTATCATTATTTATGATCATTAATGTTATTAACTGCTTTCACATGATATGTGATTTCCTCCTTGACCCTGTGTTTTAAGCCTAAATGTTGATTGTCTGTTGACATATTTCTATTAATTACTTCATGCTCACTTGTATTTCTAAATATGCTGTTTCAAAAATAAATCACTGAGTACAATTCCAGTAATGTGCTAGTCTCACCCCCCCCCCCCCCCCCCCCCTCCAGAGATTGAAATGTAATTAAATGAACATAACAGGGTAATCCAGCAGCACTCTGCATGCTTTTTGTCTTCACGGCACGGAGACAGAAACTGATATTTATTAGTTAAATGCACAGTGACACGGCACTGGCCTTGCCCTTCATTTTTTATGTGGCCGTGCCTTATTTCTTTTGTGGCATGATTTGATGTGCAGTGATTGTCTTTTGTTTCTCTTTTGCTCAGAGCATAAAATCACTCATGAAAATCAATCCAAACATAGCCCGCTCTTCTGTTTCTCAAAACGTAGCCTTCTGCTGACCTCAATAAATCGACCAGTGAGCGTTAAACATTTCAGTTAGTGCCCTCAAAGTGGCCTTTCCACAAACAGTCCTTAACTAAAGGGGGGCACCGAGAGCTGTGTGTGTGTGAGAGAGAGAGAGAGAGAGAGAGAGAGAGAGAGAGAGAGAGAGAGAGAGAGAGAGAGAGAGAGAGAGAGAGAGAGAGAGAGAGAGAAAAAAAAAGCAGGAGCATTGTAGTAACCATTATTGAAGCCCTAATAGAATTATGGCCCATTGCCCATTACTAATGATTTTTACTTGATGTTATTTTAAGGGAAGGGATCCTGTTGAGTCTGCCATTTATATTGATGCCAGCTGAAAGGTGAAAGCGAAAAAGTCAAGGGTTATTGCTCTAAAGATGACGATGTTGTCCAGCACTAAAATATCCTGTGTGTACTGGAATGGCACCATCTTTTGTACCAGAGGATAAACCAAATTGGCTTTGGTGATCCATTCACTTTTTCTCTAGCACCACCATGTGGGTTTGAGTTATACATCTTAACAATTATTGGATGGATTGTCGTTACATTTAGTGTGCACATTCATGTTCCGATCAGGAATTATTTTGTTTCTGGAGCTATTATCAGGTCATATATTTCAAATTGCCCTATCATTTTGTTTCTCAATAAATACTCTATAATGATTTCTCTATCATAACTTAGCTCTACTTTAGCGGTAATAAGCTAATGTTAGCATGGTAAAGTATTTGAAACTGTCTGGTTCGGGGTTGGTTCGGTTTAGCCCCCTGCGACCATGATGGGATATCCCATCAGGCAAGGGCTCTCTCTATTCCCCAGTATTTTATTGTAACATGTAGCTTTTCCTGTTTTTAATCTCTACTGAGGAACTGTTCTGCTTCGCTGCTTTCCCTCAGATTCAGTCATCTCCAGTGTCCTCTGCTCTCATGTAGCAGATATTATCTTATCTCAATTTGTAATCCCAACGTTGCACAAAAGCAGTGAAGAAATTAGATCTCTGTTTTCGCTATTCAATCACCTTTTAGCACCTGTTCCTATACAGGGGCAGGTGCCTTTGAAGGGGCAGGTGCTTGAGAGAAACAAAGGGGTCTAAAGACTTAGAGCCAAGAAGGTCCCCCCCCAACCCCCCATTAACAAGTTAAACATTGATTGATTGAACAAGTTGAAGTTTAAACAAACGGTTCTGTGTCTTACAGGAGGAAAAGGAAAAGTTAATTGCCAAAACTCAATTAAATTTAGTTTTTTGTTTACTCATTATAGTATGCTTAACATGGTAATCTAATAATCTGGACACACAGGGTTAAATGAAACATATTTGCTCGGCCACTCTGTATTTGTATGGACCTTCAAGCAAGAAAATAAGATTTACAACTAATTTTTGAAAAATAAATTAGCCATGCAACTTTCTGTATTCAAGATATTAAAATGGAACAGAATAATGCACACAAGCTCAGTGAACTAATTGCAAGGATAATCATTTTTAACACAACCTCGTAGCAAAACCAAATATGCATACAGATAACCAAATGTGTTTTTTCAATCAGCCTCTTTTTCATTCCATTAGACTCATCAGTATATTTTCAATAACAAACATAATCCAGTTTTGTGTTGCCTTATGGAAAAAATATTGAATTACATTTCTTATATTATGTCAAATATATTTCCTCAAACGACAGTATATGCTTGTTTATAAAATAACACTTTTTTCACATTAAAGCATAAATATTTGTCACTTTCGCTTTATCTGGACCAACTTCGGTCCTGATAAAGCGAGAGTGACAAATATTTATACTTTCTTGTCCTGAGTGCAGCCTTGTTTTCCTGCATCTGGCTGTATGGATATCAGTGTGGGGGTGGAGGCATTTGAAAGGCTTGGGGGGCGAAAAGCGCTGAGACGAGTGAGAAGGAGAGAGGGAGGTCTTTTGGCCACTTGTGGCCTTCACAAGCCGGGCACAAATCATGGAGGGACATGGCAATCTGAGTGACAGATGAACAATGCTCCCATTTTCCAGCCCCCTGCGAACAGGCCCATCCATCACGGGAGGGGAGATTAATTCAATCCATCAGCTTTTTGTCTCCTTGGGCCCCCTAATGCCATCTGATATTGCTCAAGGGGGACTTATAAATGTTTGTGGATTTGATCTGAGCCCACTTGCTTGACACCAAATTAAAACATTACTCTTTACTTTTAGCAGTATGGGTATTGCCAACAGCCTGCCATCATTCTGATGAATTATTCTGAACAGGAAAATGTTTGCCAAAGGCAGCAAACAAAAATAAACTGGAGTTTGAAAAGTGAGAAGAGCGCAGGATGGTGGTTACAGAAAAGGACCAGGAAACAAATGTCAAATCATATGCCTTTTATGCTACATGTATAATTAAGGCACGCAATATGCAAAGGAACTTCACTCAATGAGCAATACAGATAAACTTTGTTTAACACATGTGCAGGCAGTTCTCTCAACTGGTCAACTAAAGAATGGTAGTTCTAAATATCTACACAAAAAACAAGGAGAACCATTTGGTGGTGTTTAGGCACATATCCACAGATTCTCTTAATTATCCCAACATTTTATTTTTGCATCTTTGGCAAAGTTATTCTTTAAGGTACAAACTGATCTTGGAGCAACATTTAAGCTGGTAAATGTACTGTAGAGTCAAATACAGAGTGCATAGCTGCAGTTCTGTAAAATTAGGTAGAGCATGGCACCAACACAATGTTAGTGATGACCTCTAGTGGCCATTCCCAAAACTCAACACTATGTCCAGAAAATTGTTTTACAGAGAAGCCATTTACAGAACCTTGTTTTCCCATTTAAACCCTGAAACATCCAGCCTAATCATGGAGGTACAGGTAAAACACTGGCGTCATCAATATGACACTTAACAGCTATTCCATTTACATTAATGGTCATTCTGCTTGCACTTCCTCTGATGCACTTCCTTGCCAGATCATTTGGATTTAAATAGAACAAGGAACAAACATCAAAGTATAGCCCCATTTCCAGACATACAGCCTCACAGACAGTCCATGGAATAAAGATCCAATTACATAATCACAACATGAAACTTCTTGAGAATAGTTCGTATACAAAATAACTTTATTTTTAAGCATCATTTCCCTTCTGATGCTGATAGTGAATCCTTCCTCCTCTCCAGAAACACATGTAATAGGACATGCTCAGAGATCCCACAACCGACACCAGCAGGACGGACACTACCAGAACAATTTTCCACACCGCTAAGTCTTCCTCTCCTGACCCTGAGAGAAAACAAACAGAAAAACACTCAGTGAATGTAGTCTGGAAAGTGCAGGTTTAACAAAAATGACTTTGATGGTGTGGTTTATAGATGGACTGCTGCTACTAGCCTACCGTCTTCCTTCATGGCATATGGATCTGGAGTAGTTGGCACATTCAAGTCCTCCACTGTCCCCAACTCAACAGCTCCTGGTGGGTACTGGGGCCAAACAGACTCATTTTCTGGTAGATAGTAGTCATACGGGTCTTCATACTGTAGACTGTCGCCAGGGATCACCCACTGGCTCTGGATGTACTGAGGAATGACTGTAAATGCAGCAATTTCAGCAGGTTCCTCCACAAATTAAAAACCTGACCAAATGTATCAAATCCTCTGCTTAAAAGAAGAAAATCATGTTCTGCTTACCTGACTGAGCAGTAGATGAGGCCAAAAGAGCCACGAACACAAGATTAAGAACCAACATGACTGTGCTTACTGCTGCTGGGATTCCCTTTTGCCCTTTATGTGGCCACTTGATCTGAAGAATAGGGATCAGCTGTGGCCTCCTGACTCAATCAAGATAAATCACTGCAGCTGGGCTCTTAATTTGCCTGAAAGTGAGGTAGGTTAGTCAGGAAGCGGAAACTGTGGCTGCACAAAGAGCAAGTTGTTGTGCTGCCACTTGTATCACAGATAGGTGTTTTCACTGAAAGGCCCTGAAGCAGACTAGATTATGCTTCAATGTGTTTTCACAAACATAAGAGTGTCAATCATTATGTTATCAAATATGCAAATTGGATCTGCTCTTACTTGTCAATATTCGTATTGGAGGAGAAGATGAACTTCAGGATTAAAACACAAAGCTTGTCATAGATCATTTATTTCACAACAGATTTTTTTTCTCCAGCATGTCAGAAGTTGTTACATAATAGGAACACTTGAAGTCCATTGTAACAAGCAGTGCTTCAGTTTTCAAAAAAATAATCTTCACATTGTGAAATATAACAGCACACGGAAAACAAAAATGAGGTCGGATTTTTCTTAGTTAAGGCTGAAGATGTGACTCATAACACCGCCTTCCGAACACACTGCCACATAAGTGGACTGAAATGTTAAATTGACTATGGATGTATAGATTTTTACATGGGATACACTAATGTGCTTCTTATAGCAGGAAAAGTGTCATTAATAAAAAAACTTTGCCAAACGAGTGGTTGCATTATATTTAAATGTCACAGTTACAGGCCCATCATGACACTTTAAATGTGTACACTTTGGGGTCTTTGTTGTATACATGTCTGCTGTTTCTGCCATTACAAGTCGAATTGCCTCACATGAAAAACATCTATGCCCTTAAACAAAGTAAAGTAAGGTCTGTGCTTGAGTGAACATCCAATATTGCCATACTGGAGCTTTGAGCATTTGTTTCAATGTTTCAAAACAGCGATAAAAAATATCATGCATTGTGAACCGATCTGGTTATTAAATATTAAACATGTTCACAACTTTTCAGCACATCTCTCCATGACAAAGTGAACCACATCTTTCATAATAAAGAGAATGGGATGTGACACAAACACACTTCACACAATTATTGCTATATGGTACACTACAGTTGTAAAGTTGGCAATTATAACCCTTCCTAATACAGCATGTTCCTCTTGGTGACAGCTTATCCAAATATCCAGCTACATTTACTTTCACATTTTCCTTTTTATTTCACTTTATGTAATAACAACATAACTTTTGTAAGATATTCACTTGCATAGCTCAGCATGAGATACAGTATTTGACTTGGCTCCTCAAAGAAAATAAATGAATAATACAAACATACAGTTTTGGTTCATTCTAAAAGAATCCCTTAAACCCTTTTCTGCGTAGCTCCAGCACTGACCGTCACAAGTATGTGAGGAAATCAGCACTAGATGTATTGCACATGTTCTAACTGAAAGTAGTCTTACATTAGTGATAGATGTCTGAAACAGGTGTGTCAAACATTTCCCAGACAAAATAAGTTTTGCATCAATTTCGTTTTGCTACAGACTTGCTGACCAACATTTTGTTTAGTATTAGTGAGAAATAAATCAAGTACTCGTGAAGTTCAAATGTAATGTTACTAAAAGTATGCTTAGTTTAAGAAAACCATATATCATTTAGAATAATATAGATTGTAAAAAATGCTCCCAGTGCAAACTTTGGCTCTCATGACCAACGAAAAGGTAGAATGAAATAATGAGAAGTCAGAAAACACTAGAAACACTCTTCAAAGTAACAGTAAGGCTTGTTTTCAGAAAGAAATAAAAAAAACAGTCATAGATAAACTTTATGTAAGAAACGCATAAGAGTGATCTTATGGCAAACTGGCTTTTTTTGTTGGCATGGCGTTACAGTACTACAGAAAAACAGCAAGTGAGGATTTGTGTTTAATGTCCTTAACATCTGGACATGAGGCGAGAACTCTAAACCATGAGGACAACTGTGGAGGATTTGTCTGTGAGGAAGATCACAACCATATAACCGCACACTGTACCCCTGCCGGAGAATAACATATAACGCAGGGTTTTAACTGTGAATATTTAAACATAATTCATACTGTAAATATATTGGTGTCGCTATCCAGATTGCCCTGAGAGGTTAAAATCAAGGTTCCCAAAGATTTTCATGGAGCTGGACTTCACCTTTAAAACCGTTACATACTTATATCTGGAAAATATAGTTTAATATGCGTTTCTTTGACTACGTAACTGTGGATTATTGCTCTATGAAATGATTCTTCACACGTCTTCTTTAGTGCTTCACAGAGTGGAGAACCAGCGCAGGTCTACAGTATGTCGACAGGATCAGTCCTTATTTGTGCTTCTCTTCCTCATTGTAGACCTTCCGAATGCTCGCGTCAAGCAGGTAATCCACTCCCCTAAAGGGCACAGAAAGTGGAAACATTGGACACATAATACAACATTTTCCAAATAATTTCATAAAAGCAGAAGAGATGTCTTAACATTGTACTGTGTTTCTACTGTGCTGCTGTTCCGTGTTTGTGGCACCACAACTTGACTGAACCTGCCATTGGTGGTAAGACCGACATCCTTTTTTTACTACTTGATAATGAAAGTCAGTGTCTTTTAAAAATGTTCCTAGCTCTTAAATCATAACGTGTACATATGCAACATATTTAACAATTTGGTACCATCCAACTTTCCATTAACACGTGACCCTGTTGCCTACCGAAAAAAAGATGGGATTTTTATGGTTCGGAATTGAAGTCTTCCATTGCAAGTAGCTTATTTATAATCAAGGAGAATTCTTTACAAAAACTATTTGATATCATTTTATTTTTGAATATTTTCAGAGGCAGATTCATACATTTTACATATTACCTTTTAAATCTAACAAATTGATCAAGATTCCATGCAGAGAAACAAAGGTGTGCCAACCTGTCAATAGGAGAGATGATGAAGGGGATTGTGGACAGGCCTATAGCCGTGGTGGTCCACTTGCGGACAGGCAGGGGCAACTTGGTGGTTTTCCCCAGCAGGTGCAGTGACGCAGCACACACACGGTTAATGGTGAAGCCCGGGATGATGACAGAGGCGAGGGCCTGCCACACGAACGTGTCGACCACAGCCACCGCTACCCGCGTCGTCTTCCCTGGGTTATCCCCGTGGGCCTTCAGGGACAGATTCAAAATAAGAAAGTGAGGAAAGTCCCAGCTATCACAATGATGTTTCAATACAGTAGGTTCACAAAATCATATAATAATAATTGCATTCATACATTTCTAGTTTCTCTTTTTAATCTGTTTCTGTCAATGCCCCACAGGACGCCTGAGATCAATCTTGTAGTTAATTGACCAATAATGAAGATAACATATACAAAATGATCGTCTCACCACAGCGGCTTTCTTCCCTTTGTCCACAGCATCAGCAGTAACGTATACAGTGGCCACTGCATAGCTGCCCCACACGAAACTCTTCGGCACTAGAGCACGGAAAGCCTCCCCGACCTCATTGGCATAGCCTGTGGACAAATACACAAGTGGAGATACGACTTAAACCTTTTTAGTCTCCTTGAATAAATCATAGCCTTAGTTAGCGACCCCTAACACGAGACAAAATGCTATTTGAATTTTATTAGCAAATGGACATTTCTGTAGATACATTTCTTTATCCAGAGTTACTTTGGCCCTGATAATCGTGCAATGCAAATCTATTAACATGAAAGCCCTAGGTACTTTGCATTCATTAAAAGAAAGGCCATTCTGAGTAACAGGGCAGTGCATTAATACTCAAAGCTACATTTTCAGTGGAGTCTCACATCTAGGAGCGCTCATGATGTGAAATTGTAGCTCCTCCAAAGCCCTGCTCCTTTCATATATATCATGAAATATAAAGTTGTCTAATAAACTTGAACTTTATCTCTGACACTGTGGCAGTGGAACAGAGAGAACCGTTTGGGGGAATGAAGTAATACCCATTCCACAAGGTTTGAATAGTTAGAGTGCACCTATTAAGAAGTCACCTGTTCCATGCCCCAAAGAACAAGAATAACTCCAGTCACACAGGAATATTATCTTGGGTTTGATGACCCAGCGCAGTAAAGTCAGATTCTGCTGCTGCTGTCTCTATCTGTGGTGCTGCTGTCATAACTGAGGCAAGCACTGTGCAAAGACTGCTGCCGTTTGTGCTGAAAAAACTAAGTGACAGCCAGTGAAACCCTGATGGTGACACTTTTACTCGGCTTCTTTTATTCTCCGATTAAAGCAATCAAATCAAAATCAGGTTCAGATAAGTGGATTATCAGAGGATACACACAAGATTGTTATCTTAGGCGTCAACGATTATAATCACTGTACTCTGTGGTTTAGCAATATCCGGATGATATACATCTCTCACATCATTATTAGGTGCTTGAAATGTGTCACTTTCAGCTCTATCCCTTCAGTCGTAACGTTCTACCACAGTCCTGGCCTGATGTTACCATACAGAGTCCCATTGACTTCCATGCAAAGTTATATTCAAATATGGGGAAAGGAGAGGACTTGTATCTGCAGATGCTCTGAGCTGAGGTGTTATTGGTTCATTCATGTTTACTATTATTTTAAAAGGGTTTAATGCTGTAATTGCAATTGCATTTTTTACACATGTTAAGATACTGAAGTACGTTAGCTTAACACACTTAACAGAAATGACATGAATGGCAAACAGTTTTCTCTTGTTTATATAAGAGATGAATAAGAGATGCCCGAGAGAATCATGCTTCCACAGCTTCACAAAGAGAAAAACCTCGCATTACAGCTTTGTTTGTCCAATTGACTTTAAGAATTAGTCAAAGAGTACATCAACTCTTTAACCTTGAAATGTAATCGTTGTCAGTAAAGTTGAGGACTAAGCAGTACCCAACATGTGTTCTAACTACAAACTCAGCCCTGCCTAAAACCACAGAAGCTTATTTGAGCCATTTAGTGACTCAGGAGAGAGTAAATGTATGTACATCACAACAGCAATCACAGGGGCAATAACTATTAGGCTCAATAGGCCTAGCTGTTGCTCATTTCCCTAAATGTTGGTAAAAGGCTTTTACACACAGGACATTTTGACGTCAAAGCGGTCAGTGTTTCAGTTTCAGGATCATTGTACTGTGCATGCTGACTCACTGTCATGACTTACTAGGATACTTGAATAGATCTGAGCCATTGTTGCCTAATGTCCTAATGTTAGGCCTTCAAAAAAAGCTGGCGGATAGAATAAGACAACTTTATGAAACTTGCTCATAGCTCTAGACCGCTTTACCTTTAAAACTGCAGCACTGAAAATGTCAGCAGCAGCTAAATCTGGAGCTCCAGAAGCACCTGTTTGCATAAGGTGATAAGAGGTATAATAAAACATGATAACAAGGAGAGGTGAGATAAAATTATCTTGCAGTATATAGCACTCGGGTAATAATCAAATCTGCCATGCCCCGGCACAATAGGCTGGGGTCCAATTCCGACCTGAGCAAAGGCTTCAGATGACTCTTTGTGATTCACTGTTTGCCCTTCACAGCAAGGCATGATGGTGGAGAGTGTGGGGCTGCTCAATTAATCGTATTTTAATCGCAATTACGATTATGGCTTGCAATAATTACGAAAACAACGTAATCGAAATAAAACGATTTTTAAAAAAAATTATTATTACTTTTTTTTGTTTTACTTTTTTTTTTGGGGTTTTTCAGTTGAATTCTACGGAAGAGGATTAGGGCCACATAAAACATTTTTTTGTGAGGATTTGAAAAAAATATTATTATTTTTTGTTCTGAGAAAAAAGTCAGAATTCTGACTTTAATCTCAGAATTCTGACTTTTTTCTCAGAAATACCGGTAACTGTAGAACCAGCTTCACTGCGATTTACACATTGCAGTAGAGGTCCAAGAGGAAACCATAATAAGTCATTTTACAACCATCTGCAATGTGTAAATCGCAGTGAAGCTGGTTCTACAGTTACCGGTATTTCTGACTTTTTTCTCCCAAATAAAATGTTTTTTTTTTGTTCTGAGAAAAAAGTCAGAATTCTGAGATTAAAGTCAGAATTCTGACTTTTTTCTCAGAACAAAAAATAATAATATTTTTTTCAAATCCTCACAAAAAAATGTTTTATGTGGCCCTAATCCTCTTCCGTAGAATTGAACTTAAAGTTCAGGGCAATCAACTGTTAAAAACATACTGTTCAAATGTTTTTCTCCAATAAATTGATGTTTTCAAAGTAAATGGATAATCGTTTTTAATAATCGTGATATCAATTATTGACCCAAATAATCGAGATTATGATTTTTGCCATAATCGAGCAGCCCTAGTTTGGGGTAATGTTCACAATTAAAGTAGACGTAAAGGAATTAAAAGAGATCAGGAAATAAGAGGACAAATCCTATTGATGACTAATGTAATCCAACAACAATTATATTTCCACCAAAAACCATATGTCATCCTCCCTGACACAATGTTTGAGTTTGCCCAACTGTCTCATGTGTCTCAAATACATTATTAGATCCATTTCACTGGTGGGGGAATGTCAGCGTGTTGAATACAAAAGTGAATATGTGATTTGTTCCCAAACAAGACAGGTACTGATCTCCTTAGGACAGGCAGCTCATACAATGAATGTGTTCTTTGGCTTTTCCTTCCCACTCAGTTAGAGCAAGTTCCTGCTTTAAGACTAAATCCAGTCTTTGTTGCATAACCACCATCTCGGTTTTTTTCCACAGCAGTAAAAAAGTATCTTTTCCAGATCTGCAGAAGAGTTTCTGGGAATCAAATGCTGCAAAGGAATTATTCACCGCAAACGTGTGTACAGAATACAGATGCATGACATGTGGGAAATCATTAGAGGAAATCTGACAACGGAAATGCTTTTCATCCATGAGTTGCACCATTGTTTTCACATTTTAATGTTAAACTCAAAACATGGCTACATACAAACTGAAAACACATATTGTAGGACTGCTTTTAAATCGCTGTCAATATGCTGCTCAAAGGAGATGTTTAACTGAACAGGCAGGAACATTAGGGCAACTGATTATGGTTTTTTGAATGGTAAAAAAAGATTGTCATGACATAACATGGTCAGTGCAGGAGATTAAAGCATGTTCACCCGGAGGACTGCATGTACAGTGACAACTGCTGCAGTATGACTTTCCTTCAGACCTTTTTTCACTGTACATACCTTTCTCAGCTAACAGCTCATTGGGTGATAGTGTAACCAATATCATTAATGCCCCTTGTGTTTCAATTAGAGAAGCACAGCAGGGGAAACAGGAAGTCAATTCTGCCTGCCTTATTTATCAGTCTGTTGTTCATGCCTGATTCATAAGGGCGTCTCAGTGTGGTTGTGACTCATTGTTTTAACTTGCAGAACAACCTTGATTGAGAAAGACCTGAGCTACACACAACTCCAAAGCTAACAGTTCAAAAGCAGCTGAATATAGTTTGGAAACAAAGCACCAACAACGATATTGTCCATTCTTGGACGCTGTCCATTTTTGTCCAGTGGACACAAAATGACCTCGCTATAAATAGACATTTTACCAGCTATGCTAACTTTTAGCTAGCTAGCATGCAGCTCCAGGGTCATGACAGCGGCTCCAGTGAGTTGTTACAGTCGGAAATACAGTGAACGGAGACGACACACATTTATACAAACACGTCAATACATACCTAAGAAGCGGACCCATGTGTCGCGATAAATGTCGACCGTTTTGCTTGTTTTTTCTTCAATGGGATCCATGCTTTCTTTCTTTTACTCCATCCCCCAGTGCTGTAAAACATACACTAGCAGTGTGAGCGTAAACCGACACACGGCAGGGACAGTGAAGGGGGCGTGGTCTTCACACAGCATCCTGCAGAGAAGTCCCAACACGCTGCTCAACACAGGGCGGAGGCAGAATACCTCTGTACTGCCTATGTCTTTCAGATTCTTTACTTTATTGATCATTTAAATTGTATACTCTGACTTGTCAGCACATGACATGGCCTACAAGGCAAACATATTCAGTATTACATTGAAAGAGATACTAGTTATTTTACAAATTGAGTTTTTGCAAACAAATCATATAATCAAATGTTTTCATATAAACATCAGACGGTTAAGGTTGGGGTCAGGGTTTCCGACCGGAAAACAGACATTTAATGTGTTTGATCAGCCTACATCAGCTGTTAAGGTAAGTTTATTTGCACAATGGTGGAAACACTAAATAAATATATAAAAACTGAATGAATATGTTCTCAATTAACAACTGGAAGAAATGTGAAAATACCAATTGTGTTTTTTTTATAATTACCATAATGAAAGTACCGTTATAGGCAACTCTCGGGGGACTTAAATGTCCTAGTCTGCATGTGTTTATGTTCCACATTCCTAACATGGTTCTAAATGACATTCCTACAAACAAGGTAGTGTTCCAGCAGTAGAGGACTGGCTGGTTTCTGTGGCTCTGGGCAAAAGCTGCTATCAGTGGTCTCCTGCTGGGCTCTTACATGATGGGAGATCAACAAACAAAGTGCACAGGGGGTCAACGTGTATGAGCCCACAGTTCAATGTTGTCCTGGGGCCCTGCATGAAAGCGTGGGCCCTACATGAAAGCGTTCTAGAGCAGTGGTGTAGCAGCTGAAATGCAAATTTAGGAGCCAGCAATGCCCAAAGCAGAAAGATAGCTCACAGAAAAAGTGAAGCATTAAAAAATGATGTAATATAAATAAAGACATGTTGAATATGTCACAGCTTACTGTTTAAAAATAAATAAATGATTATAGCCTACTGTAGTTTCATCTTAAATGTCAGAATGACAACAATTAAGCAGATGTATAATCAATAAATAAGAGAAGATCAAATGACACATTATTCCACTAGTTATGCCTCTTTAAAAACTGACTTGCTGGTTTCCCACAGAATATCTGGATTACTAATAGGAACAGGATTATTGTATTTTTGCTAATTACAGTCATGCCACATATGTATAATATGATGATATAATTGATATTTTTTCACATTTGGCTATCTATAAACGATCGTACCGAACACCCAATAGAAAACGAGCATTCTGATTGACAGTCAAACGGACCAATGGTGATGAGCCATGTCACACAGGGAACCAATGGCAAGGAAGCACACCGTTCAGTGGGATGAGTTTTGACCTACGATGGCTGCCGCCAGCATGAGCTATCATTATAGGGAGCCCAAATCCCCATTTAGACGGAAAACAATGCCTTTTAAATCATACTGGACTTTCGCTTTTCTTATTTGTAATGCAGCATGGTGTTTTGCCGAAGATGAACATGAAATGGAGGAGTTTTTGAAGCGGGAGTATTCCCTTTCCAAGCCTTACCAAGGTAACAGTATTGCAGCCCACTGTCACTGGGGCAGGCTGACAGATGCTTCCAGAAGAATGCATTCAGCGATTAAATCACATAAGCTTTAGCTCTATTCATTTGACAATGTCTCGATTATTCTGGCATGCTTTTGTTCTCCAGATAAAAATATCCCTGATGTAACATTTAGCCTTGTTACTGTAATAAAGCCATATCCTATGTAATGTCCTACATTACATTGTGCTTCATTAGACTGTGTTTGTCTAGTTTTTCTCTGTTGTTTTGCAACAAAGCAGAGGCTGAATGAGCTCTATTGTGCTGTGTCATCTTTTTTCTTGCTGATGATGCTATTTGTGTGCTCAGGTGTGGGATCCGCAGGCTCCTCCCACTGGGAGCTGATGGGTGATGCCATGGTAACCACCGACCAGGTGCGCCTCACCCCTGACAAGCAGAGCAAGCAGGGGGCAGTGTGGGGCCGCCTGGTGAGTAAAACATCAACTCACCCCATTTACCAGTTTTTAAGATCCACCAGGCTTAAGCTATTGCAGTCTACTTGCAGTAACTCCTTCCCTCATGAATCTGGCAATGTGTTGAATATCAAGCAAGTTATCAAGAGTCTGGAAATATCAACACATATTTCTACAGTAGTGTTAAGGGTGGTTGTACTGCCTATGTTTAAGTATGGGTTTGGTGTGGGAAGATGTTTTGGCAACTGGGTTGATGCTTGAGACAGCCTGTCATCTTCTGAGCTGTAATCTTATCTGTCACTAACCAAGAAAAACACATCGTCTGCTGACCATGATTGTGTTTGGTTAAAAACCTCAAATCTCTAAAACGCTGATCCAAATACTATCTGACTCAACAGAAGACCCTTTTCCTCTTCTTTTTTTTTACCACTGAGGGCTAACATGGACCAGCTGTTTCCCTTTTCGATTAGTATTTCCTCTTGACTTGACCTCAACTCTGTGACGCCTACACAGTGCTAAAGAAAACACTACTGAAAGAGAAACAGACTTCACCTTAACACATCAGTTTCTTTAAAATCAGAATTGTAATGCCCATTTGTTGGAGCACACACTTGATTTCAGGTGTTTTATCGAACTTGTGTGTGTTCCTAGCCTTGCCATCTGACAGACTGGGAGATGCAGGTGCACTTTAAGATTCATGGACAAGGAAAGAAGAACCTGAATGGTGACGGGCTGGCCATTTGGTACACTAAGGAACGTATGCAGAAAGGTAATCGCTATACAATATATTATTTACATAACTTTACTTCTAATCTCTATTTTTGAATACATTATCAAAACTATTATTTTCCAGGTCCTGTTTTTGGAAATATGGACAACTTCACTGGCTTGGGTGTGTTCGTGGACACTTATCCCAATGAGGAGAAACACCTGGAGGTATGCTGGAGCAGTCACTGCCCAGATCCAACCTGTTTGTGGAAAGAAAAGCAGCTTTAAAAAAAATCATAGACAAGTGCTCTTGCAAATTGGTGTTTCATGGCTGTCTTTGTGTTCTTTTGTGCAACCTTTTGGAGTCAGGCGCAGAAGAAAAGATATACTCCTCGCACTCAGGTAATCTGCGTTCTTTAATATTTGATCACAATCCTATGTCCATCTAACAGCCTCCATTAGTGCTTCTCTGTCTGCAAACATAACCTCATTGTTGATTGATCCCTGCATGGTTGCCATGTTGTCTAACCGGAGTTCGATGAATAAACAAAGCATGCAACTAAATGTGACATTCATTGTAACACTCACTACAAGTTTGTTAATAAGGGCTTTTTCAATTCAACCTAATGAACAGCAGCTTTTTTTTAACACCAAATGGTCGAATTGCAAAGGCTTACTTTTTTATTAAGATAAGTACTTTATTGATCCCAATTTGCGACATTAGCATTACAAGAAAGTAGGAAAATATACATGTTGAATTACAAATGAACAGTAACAAAATATAAAGCAGGATATCATATATACATGTGAGGAATGGAATATTAAATGTGTGTGTGGTGTAAGATGAGGGACTGATTCAAATGATGACTATATATCCTCATCGCTCCGTTTCCTTTCTGTGACCACAAGAGGATCTTCCCCTTCGTTCTGGCCATGGTTGGGAACGGCAGCATTAGCTACGACCACGAGCGTGACGGCCGCCCCACAGAGCTGGGGGGGTGCAACGCCATGGTGCGCAACCTCAAACAGGACACCTTCCTCTTCATCCGATACGTCCGCCGCAGGCTCACAGTAAGAGACTCTGATCCACGATATTACATTTGCCTAGCACACGACGACACTTCCTCATGTGTAAACAGTCACACCTCTTATTAGCATGGTTGGCTGAGTTTGGCCTGGTCATATTTATTCAAGCTTTGTTTATAAAGTGGATGTTGATTGAGCATGCATGCTTTTATACAGCCACGCCTAGTTTAAGGTTTCACTGAAAAATATAAGAATTGAACAGGAACTGACACAAACAGAACAGATTGATAAATAGTCGTTAAGAATGCAAAGTTAGGTAACTTTGAAATATAAATGATTTTGTCATTGATAATTATAGATATTTATTTAGGATATTATTGATCACAAGCAACAAGATAAAAACGATATTGGTATACGACTGAATCCTCCTTCAGAATAACGGAAAGAAACTACAATTATTATGATATTATCTTTGTTTTTACTTAGTCATTCAGATAGCACATTAAACCTGTTTGGCAAAAGAACTGAGACGTGTCGGGCATTCATATCCAGTGAGTCTCTATACGTTACTGAGTTGCATCTGTTCTTCAGGTGATGATAGACATCGATGGGCAACATGAGTGGAGGGACTGCTTGGACATACCCGGGGTCCGGCTTCCCAAAGGATATTATTTTGGAGCATCATCCGTCACTGGAGACCTCTCAGGTATCACTATGCCGAAAAGCTCCCCAATAAAAGTGTTTTCTCACCATCCAATTAAAGATGTTTTGGACCATGATAAACAGACAGACAATACTATTATTATATATAATAATGTGGAGGCCCATCATTGGCGAAATCGTGAAAATGATCACAAGTGAAAACCTTTTTTATCTCACTATCATGGTAGAGAAGTGGAACAAGCCTGATTTACAAGTCATCTTGTTCCCAGTTTTAAAGTACTTGTTTTTCTCTCCTAGTTTTAATTCCGTCTATTTGATCTTATTGTCATTTTATTTTTGAACGTTTGCCGTGTGAACCCTTTGCCCACCTATTTACTTCTTCTAAATATGTTTTCTAATAACAATCATATTTTCTGCTGCTCTTTCATAGATAACCATGATATCATTTCCCTGAAACTCTACCAGCTGACGGTGTTTCGGAATCAACAGGAAGAGGAAGAGGAGGAAGAGGAGATAACCATCCCCAGTGTGGATAACTTTGAATTTCTTAAATGTAAGACACACACACACACACACACACTCGTCTTTGTGGGATCACCTGCTCTCTCCTTGTCTGTCTTTCTGCTGCATGTCACTCTTTCCGTAATCTTTTATTTATGTTTTTTGAATAATTGTCCTCCCCCTTTCTTCTCTTTTTACCTCCCTGACTCTCTTCCAGTCGGTCTGGTTGATGAAGGGATGAGTGGAATAGCCATTTTCTTCGCTGTGCTCTTCTCCATGCTGGGCCTCATCTTCCTCATCGTCATCGGCCTGGTGGTCTACAGCCACTGGAAGGAGAACCGACGCAAGCGCTTCTACTGAGAGGGACTGTGACAAAAACAAAGATGGAGGTGGTGATAGTGAAGACTACTGAGGTCTGAGGACCCAAACCGCACTGAGACGCTGCTGTCGGAGTGCAGCACGTTGTGTTTACCTGAGAAAAAACACTATATCGACAGGAGACGGAGTAGATGTATCACCTGCTACTCAAAGCCATCGTCCAACTTTGCCATTGGTCGTTATGAAGCAGTAGGAAGAATTTATTTCTGTCCTCCGCCCGTCTGACACACACCAGCTCGGCCTTACCATCTCTGCCTCTCTACCTGTTACTCAGCATACGTGCAGTGTGACATCCCCGTTTGCTGTAGTTGACAAATAGGTATTTCTGAGATTTGTTCTTGTGTTTGTTTTTTTTTCCACTGACTTTTATGGTTTTCAGATATGATATATAAGTATCCAATGTTTTCCAATCTACAGTATGACTTGAAGCGCTAACCAAATAGCACTAAAGACTATTTAGGCCATCCGTACTGTAGCTACATGCTAACATGAGATTCATTTGTATTCAATCATTTGGAGTATATACTATATAGTATGCTGTATATTCTAGTAGTAGTTTGCATGGCTTTCATTTAGGTTGTTAGTTATGAGCTGTTGCACATCATTGTTTACAGTATGCCTGACCTTTTGATGTGTTTATGTAAAGCGTATGGAAATCCGGCCTGTTTAATTGATGCATGTGGCAAATATTTGGCTGTTTCAATTAAATATTTAGTCTGGATTTTTATTTTTATTTAATAAAAAAAAAGATTTAGATTATTTATTTTTCATTTCCCAAGATTTTATTGTAGTCCCAAAAGATTAGAGCAAACTCCTCTAAATATATTTAAAACAAATTAATTTAAATGTTGGATGTGGACTTTGCACTGAAGAGATTTTTAATATTAATAGACACAAAATTATTTATTATATAACTATTTTCCTTTTTGCTGAGAATTTTCTTTGCACATTGTACACGAATATTCATTTGTTTGTTTTTAACACTACCACTGTGCTTCTGTCATACCTCAAATGCTCTTAGGAAGAACGAGTAAACATGCTGGCTCTGGAGGGAGCTGTTGCTCAGCGTTTGTTAAGTTCTGGAAATGTTTGCAGGCCTCATGTCAACATCATATATCTTTCATGTGTTGCTTTGTTTTCAGTTGTGCAATAAGTGAGGACTTCCTTATTTCATGTAGCCACTTTGACAACCACCCAACCTTATTTATAGTGTGTTTGTTTTGTATGACAACCGTGCCTCATGTTTCCTCTGTTACCCACGTGTTACATTTTTAACCAATGTCCTGAACTATTTCTATTTCCTCATTAAAGACCAACAAATAACTACATTGATCGTGTGTGAAGTGTGTTATATGTAAGACAAAATAAATGTTCCTGTGTACCAGGTAGAAAGTTAAATATAAACCACTTTCTGAAAAATAGTGCATAATAGAAAAGCTTATCAAACTATTTAGCATGTGCCTGAGCATCAACATCCTAATGAGTGTATGACATAACCTCCTGTCAATAATTCAGGCCCACTCGGGGGTGCTTTACACGAAGCCGTGAGACCATCCTCCAGATCCATATCTCATCTTTGTCATGTTAGGTGGGGCCCATTTCCACTCAAGTGCTCAAGAAATCTTTTTGTGGAGTCAACACATGTTTACAACAACATACCAGGACCCTGCAAAAGGCTACTTGAGGTGAAATGGAAACATCAAAGGAGTCAAGAATTTGGCAAGGACTGTTCAGTTGAGTGCCAATCTTTGTTTTATTAAAAAAATAATAATACAAATGATGACCCATCAAATACATAGCAGACTTCATACTAAAACCAAAGCATTTTTATCATTCAGTGCTTTAATTCATAATATAATAAACTCATGTTGGCTTGTTTAAAGTGTTTGGGGAAACAATAAAGAGTCTTGCCTGTTTGAAGATGCCTGCTTCCTTCTCAAACTAGGCTGTTTCTGTTTCTGCCAAAAAAGAAAACCCACATAGCTAAACTGTGGCGGCCCCATCTGTTTGGTATTATCTAAGGTTGAGACTATGTTTCAGTTTACAGAGAAAATACACCTTTAGTTCAAAATGTTCCTTAACAGCCAAATGTGTCCTGGTTTAATGTAAGACGACTGCAATCCATGTTGAGGTCGTTCAATTGTTTATTATACAAAACGTTTGAAACTGATAGACTTGTTATAGCTGGGATTAAAGGCAACAGTCAGAAAATTCATCAAGATGGAGAAAGAAGAAACCCATTTCTAAAACTGAGAAAACCAATGAATTAGTTCAACAAAACTGACGGATGGAATACAGATTAAAGATATCAGGAAGGAATTCATCCAACATAAACAATATATTCAACTTTTTACTCTGGCGTCATCCACTCACTAATGTGGTTTATCTGTGAGCCAGGAGTAGAAGTGTTAGTGGTTGGAAAAGCCAGAAAGACGGGGAAATGATATATATACTAAAATTGCTTTTTAACTCAAGCCCCTCACACTGAAGCATACATTCTGACCACATCAATGCAGTAGCATTACAAGTTGTATTTTACACGTTTTCTTAAACAAATACATGTATGCACACCAACAGAAGATTACAGTACAGTGCAGTGCCACAAGCACTCGGTTATATTGCTCGTACTGGTGCCCACAGACAAGTAACGGAGAAGGTGAGAAAGGGGTCGCAGCATATAACAGTAGGTTCATGTTTTTGCATAGCCTAGTTGAGTAAACTACAATATAGACTACAGAGATGCGTGATGCAGAAAAAAAAGACATTTTACAACAATGGGAAGAACTGCTTTGGCTTCATGAGACGGGTCAAAAATGTTTGAATTGAAAACTCTAGCACTGCGTGATAACCCTGAGAGTGGGAAACCAAATCGTCACAACCACACACAACCACATGGGTGAAATAAGTCACGATCTGTGTAGCATGGAGGTGACTTTTGGTAAATGAATCTGTCTGGCATGAGTGGATGTGCCCTCCTGTTTCCAAGGGTCCACAAGCGAAGCGCTTGGCTACAGTTTGTGTAACCAAGAAAGAGGCTGGTGGTCCATGAGGAGCCAACGGGGCGAAGAGAAAACGCCCGAACACGCAGCTAAGAAAGAGTCATGTGGGGGGATGGATGTCGCATCACGCACCTCCGTCGACAAAACAGAAAGGCAAAGTTTAAGCCTATAAAACAAACGTACACAGTCATATACAATCAGCTGTTAAATGAGCTCCACCACAACATTGAAAGAACATCCAAACCATCACATGTTCAGAGAGTGGATCTCGGCAACTGTGGCTTTAAGTGATCAGCACAGAGGCGACCAATCACACGGTGAAATGGATGGATGTGTCCACGACTGATGACTGATATAGCCCTTAACCTCGTGTGAAAACCAAGGAGGTGTGGTAGTTTTTGGCAAAGAAAAAAACGATTTCACTAATCACCAAAGAACCCCCTATCCTTCCCCTCATTCCTCACCCCCCTTCCCCTATTATTTTTGTCTAAATATGTATAGAAATAAGCAAAAATGCACCTTAGTCAAAAGGTTAAAAAGCAATCTCTTGTAGGAGTTCATTTTCACCCTCCAAACACAAAAAGGATGAACAACAACAAAAACTAAATGTTTTTCATGCTTTCAAGCCAGTTAATATAACAAACTAAGTTCGACCATATCCGCGTAACAAAAACAATCGCATAATCTGGTCATCACTAACTCCATCAGTGCCACATTTAACTAACTACAGTTTTTTTTTTTTTTTTCGACACAACCACCCCTCAGATACAAAACTACAGAACGTGTGACGCTTTAAATCCTGTGGCTTTAAATGTTTACAAACCACATCCTCTTCTCATGAAGCAAGCACACTTTCTCGGAACAAGCTTTTTTTTTCTTCTATCGATACAAAACACTCCGCTCTGAAGCAACCATGCTTAGAACAACACAACTATTACCATTGGAGAGAAACTACGTCTACTCTTATAAGGCAGTAGCACGCCGCATACAGAGGCTATATGTTATTGTGCAGCTCCATAAATAAGACATTTGCTCTCTAGAGATGCAGCAAGGCAGCTTGAGGTGTGTTGGTCAAAACATGTCTTTTATTACTTCTGTGTGCAGTCAAGCTCACAGTGCGACCTCTGGAAAGGTCGTCGTCATGTTAGTTTGACTGCATGTTTAAGCACCTGCTTGACAACACAAGGACCACAAACCTTGCAACAGCACTTATGAAGTCAATGAAAATGAAACTAAATATGATTTAACCTTAATAAGCCATGCATTCATTTTGATTTCCCTCTATATTGATATTTTGGTGCACACGCTCTCTTGTATTGTAATCCTATGGGCCCTATCATACGAATCGTTGTGCAGAACCCAGTGTCGCATCATGTTAAGAGGCCAAGGGTTTCCAAAATGTGTCTTTGACAGAGTTGTTTTAGTGCTGAAAATAAAGAGACATGGCAATTAATTTTAATAGCTGAATAAATACACCAGGCAAGCACGAAATGTTGGCTTTTACTCCCCACTTAGCCTGCTGGAAAAGTATGAATAGAAGCTTTGATTTAAACACGTTTGCAACCTGTTAATGATAACTGGAAGTTAGGTTACTGTGCCTCGGACATGTTTAATGCATTAATATACAACAGACTATTGCACCAGAGAGGTAACACACTCCAAAATGATAAAGGCTGCAGTACTTTGTGATCTCCTTTGAAGCAGAATGACTGATGCGTCTGTTTTGACACAGTATCAGAGCAGACAAATAAAAGGCTGTTTGACATTGTCCCAAACTAAATACCCTAACGAAACATGTACTGACTTACCAGCTACTGCGCTATGGACAGACTTTTATCTTACAATTTTGTTTCGCAGTGGTTTTCCTATCTAACAATTACTAGTTTTACTGTCTGCTATGCTTTGAATACATACTGTACAGTATAATGGGCAAACAACATGCAACACAGAGGAGTTTGCTGTTAATCACAACAGATTCTGCAGCTGTGCCAACACTGGCTGCAGAGAAGAGCTTGCATCCACCTCAAGTTGCTGCCAACGGAAAATACCACTGCAAATCCATCACACTGCTAAGAGCCACCGGGGCCACACAGTGCCGGGGCAGCATCAGCTAACTAGCTAACATCACTGCACAACGGCATAGCATGGCGCACACAGTAATTACGACACAACTTGATATAGGGCAGCTAAAACCAAACCACAGTCTATTTCTTTACACCCAACATCTGGTACACAGATATGTAGCCACTGTAGCCCACTATCATTAAAAGAAACAATGAGGAAAGCAAGTAACAAATGGCTAGAAAATACTAATCAAATCAAATTTTAAAACACAGAAATTCATGCCTCATGCAAAATACCAGTGCTTCTTATAGTTAATCCACCTTAGTGCTGAGAAAGTATTACAACCTGATGCTTCAGCACGATAAAGATATTCAAACACAACTCAATCACAAGACTCAACCCGTCCCTACTGCACTATAACATCCACTCACTGGAACACACTCTAGCAGCCCCCGTCATGGAGCGTTGTTGCAATAATAGTGACACCTGCGGCATTTACTGAAGCATAGCTGGTTATAAAATGGACAAAAAAGCAGGTATATCCTTCATTATGAACATCCAACCTATACATTAGAGTGAGGATAATGGTACACTCTGACGTAACACAGTTAATAAAGAAACGCTAACACAGGGACACCACAAGGCTTTTTGTGAATTACAAAATGGTGCCAAGCCCTGTTGGCCATTACAATGAATGCAATGCAGCCAGAAACCAAAGTAGGGAGATGATGTGCACACAATCAATAAATCATTAAAAGCTGGTCGCTCCCTACCTACAGTTATGCCAATGGCTGACCACAACATGAATAACGAAGAGGAAAAAGGGCTAGGGGGTGTATGACACTTAAAACAAAAGACAAAACTAAAACTCCTTCTGGTATCGCTCCTCTGCTGTTTGTGAGTTTAAACTCCCCCCCCTCTAGATGCGAAAAGTCCCACAGACCTGACACCAGAGGCTGGTTGCCATGACCTCAGAGCTGACATCATCGTGCAGCTGTGCTCTATATTTCACAGCACACACACACACGCTAACGAACACGAAGCTCTGGGGAAAATTAAATGTGTGCTCCTGTTGGTTCATCCAGTTCTGGTTTGTCTTTTCCCTCCTCTGCTTCAGAGTCATAGCATGGACAAGGGAGAAATGTTGTTGACCGTGTTGGTATGCTCCAAGCTGATCGTCCCACCGGAGGTAAAATGTCAGACGAAAGGTTGGCCGAAATGTCCTGACCAAGGAGAGTGCAGAGACGGAAACACGATGACAGTGCTCGAGGAGAGGGTAGGAGCGAAGAAAACAGTCGATTCTGGTTTCAGTCACAATCAATCGCTGCCTTCTCACTACCTCATAAAGGTGTTATGAACAAATGAAGCATCCAAGTGTGTTTGCTGGTTTCCCCACTAAAGAAAAGCAAAAAATAAAAATAAAAAGCCACAAGTTTGTCCACATAATGTGTTATTCATCATTCTTAATCTGGAGCCATTAAGGATTAGTTATCATCATCATCATCCTGACGTCACGCCTGCGTTAGTTTCGAATTTTTAGAATTAAACATAATGTGGTGATGATGATGGCAACAGATATGTCATATATTTCCCTGTGTGAAGCAGAAAGCCGTGCTGGTTGGCTGGTTAGTTAGTCAGTTATGTAGGCAGGGGGTCACACCATGTGGTCTCCAGTGCTGGTGCTGGCGGTCTGGCTGGGCAGCTCGGGGGTGCGCTCCTTCTGTCTGAAGGCCTGCTGCCGGGGCCCGGAGCAGCAGTCCTGCCCGGTGACCTTACACATCCGGTGCTCCTCATCGCTTTCCTCCTCAAGCCCTGAACCCTCGTCTATGTCCAGCTGGCAAACACACACCTCAATTCCTGAGTCACCGGTCACGTGGCGTCGCCGAGTGATAAGCTCCTCATCCTCCTCTTCCTCCTCCGCCGCAACGAGCGAAGCCTCCACGTTCTCCTCTACCACACACTGTGCTTGGACCGACACCGACACAGCTTCCAGATCTGGGGATGAGCCTGAAGCCTGACTGTCGTCCCTCGGGGCTGCTTCAGGCAGGGGGTGAGGCACTGCAGCAACTGGCTGGCTCAATTGTGGAGGGAGTGACGGGGTGGTTTCAGGTGGGTTTTCAGAGTAAGGAGGAGGCGGTGTTGGGGGGTGACCGACCACCTCTTCATAGTCAGGAAGCTTGCAGTCGTTCCAGAACCCTAAAAGTCAGCATATACAGAAAGCTTTAGCATCCAACCAACATTTCCATAAGTTGCTATACATACTTTTCATGCTTTAAAAATAAGTTTAAGTATTGATAAGGAAAGTGCATCAGGTAAATATTCCAAATGTACTTTGCTGGGATATTATTACACTCTACAAGTAGAAAAGAGGGTTGGAGGTTGTGAAACTGCTTCATAATGTTTTTTTTGTTTTTTTTTTAAACGCTGTGCTACATTTGTGTGTATCTACCAGATCAACTTTCCCTTTGTAAAAACCTAATCTAACCAACCCTGAGAGCACTCAATCACTAAGTTTACATGCACAGCACATACATTTAAAATGAAGATACATTTGAAGATGGTAATATCACTGCATAAATCAGGGTTATATGTTTAAAGTTGTACTGTTGGATGGCATGCCTGAGGAACACAAAAACAAAAAAACATACCCTGAGTAAATTGAAAAGGCTTGTTACTACATTCCCATGATATCCTCATGTAAGAGCTGCAAGAATATATGCTTGTCAGGGTCTCTATGTTAGTCACTGTCTGTGTATGCTCAAAGTCAGAGTTTTGAGAGTCTTGACATCTAGTCAAGCAGCATGGTCAGTCTTGTTTGTGATATTAAGGGGCAGGATATCAACTTTCAACTGACATTAGGGTGGCATCTCTGATGTCTGATGCCGTACTGACAACTGACACTTTGCTCTCCAATATACACACAGGCAATTTGCAACAAGGTATACCAAGGTCAGGATGAGGATCAGCACCTCTAATTCAAAGGTTATATCTCTCTCTCAGAGTACAAGGTTTCATTCACAAAGGGCAGGGAACAGCTGCTCCTTGTGTGTATGCAAAATCAGATATGCCCTATCCATCTGACTATTACATTCTGGGAGGAGGGATCTTTACGTCCAAGACTACTCACTTAGATTGAGCGGTGGAGGGGAAATGAAGGAGCTGGAGGCTCCCTGGTAGGCCATGAGGCTGATCTCACGTTGACGCTGCTCCTGCTGAAGGCGCATCTTAACCCTCCGGTGTCGGTAAGCACAGCAGCAGCTAAGCATGATGATCAGGGTCCATACCAACCAAAACCCTATGAGAGGTGAGAGAATCACCGTCATCTTATCATCAAATACTGGCAACTGTTTTTACTTTCTAGATATTTTTTTGCGAAAGTGAAACTAATTTCTGGAGTAAATATCAGACACAAATCAACACAAATCTAAGAGTATGTCCTCTTTAATCTGAATTTAGTGGGACAATAGTGATGGGATACAAATAAATGTTGTGTGATTAATGTTAATATAGAATAAGGAGAAATAAATAAACTAAAGAATAGGAACTTACACCAGAGCTCGTAGTAGTAGGTGCAGCACTCAGTCTCTCCACAGCAGTACCCCATCTCACAGCGGTACTGTTCATTGTTTACCCCGAAACAGAACTCCTTCCCCTTAAATACACACAAGAGGTACAAAAAGTGAGAGTCAATTACACAGGTCAACAAGAAACTGCAGAGGTAGCTTTCGGCAAACTGACAAATGTAACCTTACTGTGTTTTCACAAACAGGCTTAACTAATTTTTAGCCTGTTTGTATAAATGAGTTTCTGTACACATTTATTGTCATATAATTGTCATATATTGTCCGTAACTATAGTGTAGTTATGGTAAAGAAAATATTGAGTCCCAGTCCCTTTCAACAATGCAACACAACTATAAATAAGACATAATACAGCAAAATTGTGCAAAAAGAAACATAATAGAAATAAAATTGTGCATGAGAATGTTGCAAGTGACCAATGTTCAGGTAATGCAGGAAAATAGACTAAGACAAGATAAAACGGAAAGTGAAAATAAATGCTGTACAACAATAAAATACTGTTTGTTGTGGTAACAAATAACAGTGACAAAAGACACTGACGTTTATAAAAGGCTCAAGGCAATAACAACCATCACTGCTAAATGTTGCAAACGATACAGTAAAATTGTGAATTACCAACATTAAATTGTAATTTAAATACGTATGTGATAATGACAATATAAGACTGTAACGTCACTGTTACTGGTCAAACGAGGTCATCAAGTTACGCCAATAAACGTTGGTACAAATACAAATGTTACATTTTCATTGCAAGTGTACCAATATTGTCAACGTAATTTGAATAAAGTTAAAATTGTGTTTCATCAGGAAAGCAAACCGGACAAACTGGGACTGCCTGCCTAATATCATCAACTACTAATATACACGTCAATTTGCAGGGTACCAGTTAGCACAACGGCTAACGTTAATCTTGATACCCTTGGTTAAAACTGTTAAATCCAGGTGATAAAACACAGCCATGTATATTGGAGTTAAAACTTAAATAATCAAACTGTCGAAATATAAATCAAAACTTTGCCTAACTGACGTCATCCGCAGGATACAGGAGCGAACCGTGCCCCGTTTCCTTTGTGGAGGAGACAAAAAGGCTCGGCTAAAGGCCTTCACCACCCCGGCAGCAGCGGCATCGGCTGGAAGCCTCGGCCGACCCTGGGTGCACTAGCGGCGGCTTACCTGCACTAGACAGGTCCCGGTACAAAGAAGACCTACAATGGATCCCAGTGCTTTCTGCGGCATCCTGCTGGGGTGTCGGCCGTTGACACGACGGGAATCATAAAGCAGTCGGTCAATGAGATGTCTTGTTGAGGGGGACTGCGGGTTGAAGCTTCAGTCTGTCGCACTCGGACATGTTTTTGTTGTTCCTTGACTCAGAAACAGCACTACTGTAGTAAAGAGAAACGACGACAACTGGACTCTAGAGGGCGCTGTATGTGCATGTGTGAAAAGGTATGATCTCACAAAATTCAAGTTCAAGTCCTGTTATTTATCCTTCAAATTAATTAATCACAATAACGTGCGAGTTAATGTACTATGCTAGATCTCTGGCATATGCTGCCTACATTTGGATACAGCACAGCACGTTTGTTATGCTTGTCACACAATTGGAAACATGGAAATCATTGCATGACGGGATGAGCTACAAAACCATATAAACCTTTTCTACTTCAAAACTATATCTACTAAGGAGTTATCTAAAGGAACAAACTTGATGCATTGCTCAATAAAAATATAATATTACATTACAATATTATAAGATCAAAAAATAATGACATGGGAAAAATGAATTATCTCTATTTAGCAAATGTAGGGTGTAAAAACGGTCAAATGCACCAAGGCTAGGAAACTATGATCTTATGTCTGAATATAACTTATTCTAACCTCTAGCTCAGATTAGCATTTTGCTTAAAAAATTAAAATATATTGCTTTAAAAGGGAAATATATAAATAATTCATCAATAAGAAAACTACATTTACAGTAAGAAATGTCTGTCTTGTGCCAAGAGACACCCAGCTGTCACGTTGTTAACTCTGACGTCTCTGTTCTCCTGGCAGCAGAAGTTAACAGCTGTTCTTCCAGGAAGCATGGGTTAGAAAGATGTTAATCCCCTCAGTCTGAACAAAGGGTCACAGTACCAACAGCACCTGAGGATAACATGGTGAGTTTTAAACTGTACAGCACTGGCTGCTTTGGAGTCACAGATTTTAAACATTTTTGTTTATATTTTTGTATTTTAGTTTTAAGTGTGTGTTACTGTAACTAGCTTCAGTTGTCTAACATGTCATGGCAGCCAAAAGAGATACCAGTAGGACACATCTACTTTTACTAAACGTATTCTACTTACCACCACTATCTCCTTTTATTGTTATGATTCATAGTTTAATGTCCGTCTGGTATAATTGTGTCATCTATAAAGGACATTTATTATATTATCAAAACAAGCATAGATTAACACTTGTATTGTTTATGTTTGTCTTGCATTGCTAGAGTTAGATGTAATTGAATTGTACCAAACTTAATTATGTAGGTAGATAAAATACACCTTTACTTTTGTGTCACCGTTAAGTTGTCAGTGTCCAAAAATATTTTTTAAAGCAGACATTTTGACCTGTCATGATAAAAGCACAGGTGACTCATTTCCAATAAATATTCTAAAAAGATATTTCAGGGAACCAGAATGCACAATACCAGGGACTTCCCAAATTGTAATGTTTTAAATACACCTGTGCCTTTTATATTTTGACATTGTCTGCCATGGAAAAGGTATATGCAGGCTTCCTTGTTTTGCACCACATTTTGAATTTATACGTTTAAAACCAGTTGTTACAGAGGAACTTCTAGAAACAAGAAGTCAAACTATAAAAACAACACAATATTAAGTTACACAATCAGGAACAAGCCAAAGAAAACAATTGAGTTTTAAGATAAAAAGAAAAAAGATGTGCGCTAGCCAGCAAATGCCTCAATAAATGTGTCCATTTATATATTTACAAAAAAAGACTCTACATCTGGCACATTGCACATGTTTCAGGTCAGTGGGAGTGCAGTGACTGCTTGAGCCAAAGCCTTCTGGACAACACCCACTCCCTGTGCACATGCTTAATCTTGGCCAATGATAGCTTTTGGCTCGTGTAGGTCTCTGCAAGCGGCTAACAGCTAAGTCCTCATGCTTTAGATAGCTCTTGCTATGGTGTGAGTGTTTAACCTCCTGTGCACGCTGCATTTGGTTCCTATGCCAAACCCTATGGCCCCTGATGAATGGGGCTTTACCTCATACAGCTTAGACCATGTAACAATGAAATGAGAAATTGCTTCCAGGGTTATATGTAATCTTTGAGCCTGCTCTAACATGCACTCTGATCCAACTGCAGGGCCTGTTGTCCATTCTTCGGAGGCTGAAGCAGACCCCAGATCAGGAGGTGCGCTTACTGCTGCTGGGCTTGGACAACGCTGGCAAGACCACTCTGCTGAAACAGCTGGCGGCGGAAGATATCAGCCACATCACCCCCACACAAGTACACAAAGGCACACATCCAGAAGTTGAATCTCACGCTGTGGAAATATCATATTTTTTTACCATTGTCACACATTTCCTCACATGGATACACGTTATCTTCAACAGGGTTTCAATATAAAGAGTGTTCAATCATCTGGCTTCAAGTTAAATGTGTGGGACATAGGAGGTCAGCGCAAGATCCGCCCCTACTGGAAGAATTATTTTGAGAACACAGATGTACTGGTAGGTTCGCTTTGATGTACTTACCTGTTTGTAAAAATAGCTGGAATGAACTCATGTGAGCCCAAAGACTATCTTTAGTATGCTCAGGAAAAATGCAACACCATTTGTTCTAAGCAGTCTAAAGTCTTGACGTATTTACATTACAATTACTAAAAATGGATTCAAGACAAAATAGGAAATCTCATAACCGGGTGTATATTTGATGTTTTTCCATTTCACATGAGTGCATAACTTCTATATGATATTCAACTTGTTGTGATCTCATTGATTTAAATGCTTTTCTGAGATGCTTTAATTTTCTTCTACTATTTTTATTATTTGGCACATAAGATTACTGTTTTTCTAAAATAAAAATAATAATATATTCCCATGTGCCCAAAAGCTAAGTAAAGTATGACAATAAAAACACACTTTTAAGCCAAGCAGTTTGACCTATTTTGAACATTTTGAGATGTATAGATCGTAATGTCTTGTTGTTTGCAGATCTATGTGATTGACAGCTCCGACAGGAAAAGGTTTGAAGAGACAGGTCTGGTGAGATGCAAAACTGTTTCTTTCTACATTATTTCTAGATGTTTTAAATGTGAGTTACAGATTGTAATTACAGTTTATTCATTTCTAATTTTAAACAATATTGACTGCAAAAATCTGTATTATTTAGTTTTCTGCCATATGTTTCTGTTTGTTCCTGCAGGAGCTGGCTGACTTGCTAGAGGAGGAAATGCTCGCTGCTGTGCCACTGCTGGTCTTTGCCAACAAGCAGGATCTGATGACTGCCACCCCAGCGTCTGAGCTGGCAGAATGTCTCAGTCTGCACACGATCCGAGACCGCATGTGGCAGGTCCAGGCCTGCTCAGCAGTCACTGCCGAGGGACTGCAGGTAAATACAGTACACACTGTCAGCAAACACACATGCACACAGCAAGGGTTGAGACAGGGTGGGCTGCAGAGTGGCACCAATTGCCTCTGCTGTGGGTATTAAGAACTTACAGAATATTGGCATTGATTACTTTACTTGAAGGTATTGTAATTTAGTATTCTGCTACCTCTGGATGTAAGAAAAGAACATCTGCTTTTAAACTTTACATATTTATGAGATTGCTGAGATTTTTAGATACAAAGTTAAGTGCTCACACATATTCTGTTTCTTTTCAGGATGGCATGACCTGGGTTTGCAGAAATATAAGGTTTCGGAAGAAATAATTCAGGAAGAAAAAAAGATCTATGAAGAATTGCAGTTGCACTTTACATTTGACATACATACATCTCATGCATGGAGGCGACAGAATGTGTTTCTTTTTATTTTAGTGAAACTACCTCTTTTGTCATTCTGTTTAAACTTGGCAGTATAAAAAACAAGTAGAATGTATCAATACAGTGATGTTAAGTGATCTTAACCCTTTCAATCCATATGTTGAAATGTAAATACTATATATATGAGGGTGTTTTCTTCGAACTGCAGACAATTTATTTTTGTAATATGCTATTTTTAATGTTATTAATTTGTAGGCATTCACTGTCGTAATAAAATGCAATATAACTCAGTATTCTGTGTGGTGGATTAATGACTGATAGGTGTCGTAAGGCTGTGAATCCCTCATCTTAAAGCTAGAGGGCGGCCTTGCGCTAGTGTTGTCTCTCACAGCCTAATGCCCAATTATTACATCCTTTATTTTCCATGAAGGATGTGGCATCCTGTGCCATATTTGATTTGTTAATTTCATAATCACCCATCTTTTATCCAGTCACTATATTATGTTTTATTGCCAGCTACAAAGTCTAGTTGTGAAATATTGTACGGCCATAAACAAGGCAGACATTAATCAGCCCATAATTCATTTAGTGATGCTTCATCTTTATGCTCATTCACTTCCACAGAGCTGCTTACTGTCATACTTTATGTTTAGGGACAGAAACAAAATCTGTATCATGTACTACAAAATGACCATAACACACAAACACCTGCACAGGAAACAGTCCTCGATACACCTCTCTTGCATACACAATAAACCATAGAGAAACACCTTGGCCATTCAATTACTCAACTACTCACCTTGTTCACCATGGTTTACCACAAGGCAATTGCATTTTCTGTCTATTTTTCTATTTTGTCTTTTGCAGCACATTTGCCACAAACTCCACTAATCTCTGAACTGGCCGAGTGCTCCGCTGTGGTCCTATAGGGCATTTACATACAAACCTTTTCCAGGACTAATAGCTCTCCAATACAATTTGCATTTATATAGCCCCCTTCATACCAACATGATTTGGCGCCTTTGCCCACGATAAAAAATAAACCTCCTCCTTTGGCCTTGAGTTACTGCCCTGCTGCTGCTGGTGTTCGTGTGTGTACCTCCACGTGTGTAAGGTTGGTTGATTTTAATATGTCATAGTTGCCTGATCTTCCGATGTAGACTGAAACATGTATGGAAAGCCTCAAAAAAGGACCCCATAATGATTCAAAATGGACTCTGGTCTCGTTTAGTGTGTTATCCGCAATACAGTAAATTTCAATATTGTTGATACAGCAGTGGGGGACACTTGACCTGGGCAAAGAGACACAAGGTAAATATTAAGCCACAACAGATTGGTACCTATAGTTATTCAGTTTAAGCTGCTTTCAATTTGCTCAGACAAATGCATCCAACACTTTTACAAGGCTCTGTGGAGCATACTTCAAAAGGAGGGAAAAGTAATGAATAAGGAAATGAAAGTCTACCATGTGAGACTGAGAATAAAATGCCCTCTCTTTCCCTCTGGAGCGCTTAATCATTAACATCTAATCCATGTGATTATCACCCATCCTGTAAGAAATATACCCAATTACACATAGAAGTACTCTGATAAATCTTTCCAATTTTATCTATCAATAGTATGTGCGTCACACGGCAAACGCTGTGAAGTGCCTTTAAATCCCAAATGGATAAAATTGGATTTAGCAAATAGAAGAGTGGATTGGAGCAACCAGTCCTCGTTACCTCTGGCTCTATCATGAGCGAGGTGAGGGGCAGTCAGGCCTGCAAAGGGCCATAAATCACGGGACTTTCCCAGCTACTCAGCCCAGCACAGCGGCCTCCCACACAGGGGAAACGAAGGGCAGAGAGTCTGATTGACTCTCAGGGCCAGAAAGAGAAAAAAGGGGGGCGAGATCCTGTGACTTAATTAAAGTGTTGTGTATCTCACACACTGTAGCTACAGCTCAGTCAGTTTGCTACGGAAGCAGTTTGGGATGCATCAGCGTTAAAACTCAGATTAATCCAACCCCAACCAGATTTGAAGAAAAATGCGTTGGTACTTTTGAGTTGCGTGCTGCTACTGCCATTAGGAACTACATATATTTGTATGCACTTTATGTGGCCTGTCATGTTAAATGTTAAAGGATGTATTTGTCCGTGTCTGCTTTAAATAGATGGAGAAACACCATAATTATAATGGTACTGCAACACAGGTAATTCTTGGGTACAATATATTGCAAGTAAGACATCTACCATACACTGATTTCTCTGTGTAACTGGGGAGGAAAACAGGCCCTTATCATGAAACAGGAATCAATACTACATTAACAAGGCTATGAGTTGAGAAACATTGTTTTAAATGCATCAGGTCCAACCAATTTGACCAGGAACATGCATGTTTAATCATGATTACACATTACAAAGGTTTTTTTAAGGTGTGACTAAAGGCTTGAATAGAAGACAGCAAAACTGCTCCAGAAATAATGCATCTGTAATAAAGGAAATAATTGTTTTTGCTCAAGCTTCTCAATATTGAGGGATTGCTTTTTTAAATGTATTTGTACATTTAATATCTTTAAGGTTTTGGACTTTTGGTCCAAGTCTACAAGCAACATGAAGACATCATCTAAGCCTTTGAGAAATTGTGAGGGACATTTTCCTACATTATTTTTGACATTTCATAGACCACAAGATTAATCAATTAATCAAGAAGACAATAGGCAGATTAATAAATGTAGAACATAATTAGTTGCTTCACTAATCAGTCAAACATGCCAGTGTCTTGAAATGTTATCATAATTTGTTAAGATCAATAATGTCTTGCATAAAGCACATGTTACTGATTATTTGAGTATTCAACTTAATTAGAAAGGACTGATTGAGTAAACTGTGATATTAAATAGCATAAATAGTTGACTACAGATGCAGCTGAATCACTCAAATGTATCTTTAATGTAATAGCAACCTCTTGTCCTCTACCTGGACTTGTAATGTTAAAGTGCTCTTCTGATCTCTCTTCAAATAAAACACCCGTGTACCTTGTAAGCTGCTACGACCAAATTGAGTCTGGCTCGTCCCTCCAGTAACGATTACAGTGTTTGGGATAGTTTGTTTGGCCAGCACAGCCTCCCTCCTGCCTCATTCCCAGGCCAATCCTTTATGATTAAGCAGATAAGTGGTACTGGATGATAAAACAAACAACAAATGTCCACATTCCTCTCGCTCCTTTGATGTATGTGTGTGTGCCTCTCCGGAGGCTCTTACCTCTTCAAGCCCCCTTTGCTATAATCAAACTGCAGAGTCATAAACAGCGAGAGATGGGGACTATAAAATGATCGGAGGCTCTATCAGCTGGGGAGAGAAGTTCACACCTCGGAGCGGGTCAGCATCAGAGCGTGTGGGGGTCGGCCCGGTGGGGGGTCCACGGCTCTGTTTGATGCTCCTGAGACAGAAAGCAGAAGGGAGGCATGTTGTCAGGCTTTAGCAAGGGGTTGTGTTGTAATACAGTTGGATGCTACCAGAAACTAGACCCACTTTCAGGAGGGTATCAGTGAAGTAACTGGGATGAGAGCAAAATCAAACTATGTCAGGGTAGGGATTATGTCTCGTGTTTCCTGTTTCAGATTATGCTTCTACTGCTTAGTACGATATACTTTGCAGAACAGTTTGATCAAATCTGATCTCATTTAATTACACACGTTTTGGCAATTATGATGTGCAGAAACCTCAATAAATGTTGACTAAGTAACAAACTTAACTTTGCCTTAACAGCTGCTTACTAGATAGAGCTTTAACTGGGATATTGTGTATGGACAATCCTTTATTATTGATATAATATCTTTATTTTGTGTTATTCAATTACGTATTTTTCGTAGACAGCTTACATTGTATTATTATCGTTGCTTTGGGGAAATGTTTGGAGTCTAAGAGTTTGTTTGGTCAGGGGTATTTTATGGGTGTTTATTTATTTGGTTTCTGCTGTTCCATTGCACATTTAATTTTCCTAGACATAATTTGTGCAAATAAAGACCTTTGTGAGTGACGTTTCCTCAAAATAACAGTGCAGTGGATAAAGATTTCCAACAAGTATAATTTCTAAACGACACTTATTTTGCTAATCAAGTCTCTGCTTTCTGTTTAAGTCCTTCCACTGCAATTGGAAACCAATCATGTCCAATAGATATTAACATGGGTAAATTGTGAAGGACATGAATCAATAACTGACTGACTGGTGTCTCACTCTTCACTATCCCGAGGTCAGAGGCCATACTCTTGACCCCTCACCGACCCCTGACTCCGAACTGCACTGAGAGGAAATAACACCTTCCATCGTCCCAAACGTCCCCAGATTGAATGATTGCTCTTATCATTTGACGGATCTGGTCCAATTCTCTTTTCTCTGTCTTTGCTCCCCCACACTCCCTCGTGCCTCCCCAGCACTCATAATACCACTTTTTATCACCTCTCGCTGAAACAGAGACCCAGCACCATCCGTCATTACAGCACACGCTGACAGCTCCTCACACATGCATGGATTTTTACATTTGACTCAATCCAGGGGCTTACTTTACTGTAACCGATTCAATATTCCTCAAATGAGCCGACCGATCTATATACACGCCACAGCGGATGGGATGATCTATAGCACTGCCTTAATACATTTCCCAGGCCTCAGAGACTGGCTAGTTTAAGGGACAGAGCATAATTTGTGCAATAAAAACATAATTATTCATTTGACTTGCTTGGTAATTTATGTTCTTAGGCATAAAGCTAAAATGTGTGTGGATTTTGTGTGTCTTGCATGCTGGTTTCTGTGTGGGCATGAGTTTGTGAGTTTTACATTCCTAACTACTACCTAGTTTCTAACAAGGGAACATATCATACTAAGCTAAGCGAATGTTCAAGCTAATGCTGACAAAACCTTTTCTGATTTGATGTATTTGAAAGCAAATCCTTTTTGACTGAGGTTTTAAAGCTCTTTCTGAAAAACGCATGTGCCTCTTGCAAGATTACCAATGTATGTTCCGAATGTACAAACCTATTCATAAGACTATAGGTGAGTATTGTTATTTAGTTTGCATTGGTCAATAATCGTACTATTGATTTACTACTACTACTACTCATATTATTACCACTACACAGAGGGAAGCTAATTTTTTCAACTGTTTATCCATTAGGCTAATTTGAGTCAATCATTTGAATCAACTTTTCAAACAATTATCTAGTATTTGTTTTTACTTTTTCAACAGTTTATCCATTACTTTTTTT